TCCGCGGTAGACCTGTGAAATGCAGGGGTCGTCTCCGCTCGGGGCCGAAGAGGGCTCGGAAGAGAGTCTCCCAAAAGACGGTTATTGGCGCCGAGGAAGTAGAGCGTGAGTTGCCGTGCTGGGTTGTCGTGGTCGTCAAGGGTTGCCAGGGTTGTCTTCAGGGCCAGTATGGGCGCTGCCAGCTCGATGCACGGAAAGCTCCACCCTCCTTCACAGCGGGGGAGGCATAAGCGGGAGCGCCTCACGAGTTCTGTGCGGTTGTTCCAGAAGAAGGTAAACAACGCCGAGCGCACTTGGAGGATGAAGGGGCGCGGCGGGAGGGCTACGCGGGCCACATGCCACAACCTTCCGCAGAAAACCGTCTGAACAAGGTACCGCCGCACAGCCATCGGGAAGTCGTAATGGCCAGCCTCAGCGGCCTTCTCTATGATCTCTTGACGCAGGTTGGCCCAGGTCTCCGGAGCCACGCCGGAGGCGTCGTACGAGATTCCAAGAATGGTAACGGACTGGGCTCGCGGCAGAGATGGCGGGCACGTGGGGGGAGCCCCGATACAGAGAGATTTGCTTTTTTCAGGGTTCAAACGTGCGCCGGAGAGGCACGCGTACTCGTCGAAGAGTCGGAGGGCCTTCACCAGGCTGTCTTCGTCGCGCAGGTAGAGGGTCACGTCGTCCGCATACGCCGAGACGCGAAGCTCACCGGACCCAGGTAGAGCAAGTCCGCTTATGCTGGGGTGCCTGTCGACTCCAACCAGGAAGGGCTCTAAGCTGAGGACGAAAAGTACCGGGGACAGCGGGCACCCCTGCCGAACTCCTCGCGTTACCGGAAAGCGTGCCACTAAGGAGCCACTCAGGAACAAGTCACTCCGCAAGTCACTGTACAAGGCTGCGAACAGCTGAGCACTCTCGGAGGAGAAGCCAAACCCGTCGAGAACACCGAGCAGGTATTGGTGCTCGACGCGGTCGAACGCCTTGGCTTGGTCCAACGACACGAGAAGCCCGTTCGCCCGTCGGGAGCGTGTGAACTCCAGGATGTCGCGAGTGAGAGTCGTCAAAGTATGTATGCTGCGGCCCGACACCGAGCACGTCTGTCGGGGGTTTACCAGCTCCGGTAGGAAAGTTTGCAGACGCGAGGCTAGGGTCGCCGCGAGGAGCTTGTAGTCGCTGTTTAACAACGTTATCGGGCGCCATGCCCTGGGGTCGGCATGGTCACCACCCTCCTTGGGGATGAGTACGATCCGTCCCAGCCGAAAGGATCGCGGTAGGAGGAGGTCTTCAAAGTAGACCCGCACGACAGCGGTAAGGAAGTTACCGAGAATGTGCCAGAACGTGCGGTAGAACTCCGCTGGGAGACCGTCCGGTCCTGGTGCGGAGCCGTTCTTCATCCGCTTCAAAACGTTCCACAGCTCGGTCGCGGACGGGGGTCGCCGCAGGCCCGCGTCATCCTCGGCGGAGATCTTGGGGAGGCCGCTGAGGAGAGGGTGCGAGGACACCAAATAGTGATCAACCGGCGCGTCCGACTGGGCCAGCGATCGGAAGTGGGCTGCGAAGCGACCATTGTCAAGATGGCCGGGCGACCCCGATGCGGAGGGCGTCTGCTGTCTTTCCAAGGCTTGTAGGCTTGTGCGATGGGTGTAGCGCAGTACCTCCGGGTGGACCGACGGGCTCCCCCGAGCCTGCAAGACAGTAGCCGCGGTGGAGTCCCACCGAAGGTATCGTTCGTAGCGTCTCTGCAGCTGGTCGAGGTACGCCCTCATGAAGGGGGTCAAGGCGCCCCCTCGGCGGACGATGCGGATTCGGAGGATTGTGTCTTGTAGAAGCCCTCGATGCCGTTCGCGGAGGTGCCGTCCCATCAGAGTGCTGAAGCTTTGCCATTGACCTTTTAGGCGGTACCAAGACGCCGGCTCTGGGCGCACGCCCGCTAGCGACTCCTTGACCAGGTTGCCTAGCGTGCGGCGCGTGGTCTCGTCGTGGAGGATCCTGGAATCTAGACGCCACGGACGTGGGGAGCGTGCGACGGCAGAGTCGAAGCAGAACTTGATAAGTAGCGGACGGTGATCGGAAATCTCTTCTGGGCACGACGGGAAGTCCACCGCAGTACAGGTCTGTAGCGCGGCAGATAGCGTGCGAGGCAAGTACAGCCGGTCTATGCGACTTCCCGAAGCCCCTCTGTTCCACGTCGACTGGCGGGTGGATCCATGCAGTAAGGACCATCCGTCTACGAGGTCGAAGTGCCTCACAAGCCGCCGAAGTTCACGGGCGGACCAGGTTGAGCGACCCTGACCAGGACCCCGAACGTCGGCGTTAGAGTCCAGGGGGGCTAAGCTCGCCTCCGGCGGAAATCTCTCCGATGCCACGTCACGAGGGAGGGGAGGAGCTTCTTTTGACTCCGCCCCGGCGAGTTTCCCACTCCCCCTCTTACATTTCCGACCCCCCCGGCGGCGGCGAGTTCCCCAGCGTAGCTCCGATTTTTCCCTACGCTCCGCAGTGAAGGGGTTTTATTTTATTTAAATCGGGGGATCGGTGGCCGGCTGGGCTAGCGCACACCAGCTCGGAGCACGTCGAGCGAAAGGTCCGTTGCAGAACCCAGGATGCTGGGTTCAATCCCCACCCCTGCCTGTTTCGATGTTGATGAGCATCGTACCGGCGTGCAGTCGTGCAACACTACTGCGGGATGGACATTAAAGACCCCAGGCTAGCGGTTGTACGGCACTGCATGGCTAAATTTCTCATCTACAGCTGGGAGAATCTTCCCCGTTGAGGCAGACCAAGTTTTAGGCAGTATCAACATACATACAGCCCAATTCTTTTTTTTTTAAATTTAAATCGTAAGTGACAAATAAGAATAGGTAACAGCAGGGATGCTAATTATACAAACATTGCTTGGATGTGGGCTAGCTGACTAGACATTGTGATGGTTTGCTGCGCCACGTAGATGCAAGAAAAACGCTCTTGATAAAGGTACAAACTAAACCAGAGTATAGACGAAAAACAATATACAGGAATGGCGCAGAATAACAACTGTGTAATTCCTTTCTCATCTTTCTCCCCCCACACCGCCACACAACCACAATATTTTTTTTTTTTTTTCAGAATAGGGTGCGCGTGGAGCGAAAGCTCGCGCTGCAGAACCCAGGATCGTGGATTCACCCCCACCCCTGGCCTTTTCGATGTTGATGAGCATCGTACCGGCATGCGGTCGTGTATCACTACTACGTGGTGCACGTTAAAAACCCTAGGCTAGCAGTCATACTGCACTGGCTAAATTGCTTATCTACAGTAGGTGACAATGTCGCAATGTTCTGGCATGTTCTCCTGCTGTATAAACAACTAACGACCAATTTGTCAAAATACGGCGTGGAAGAAGAGGAGAAAGAAATTACACAGTTGTTAGTCTGCGCCATTCATGTATATTGCTTTTCTTCTATCATCTGTTTTAGTTTGAATTTTATCAAGTGCGTTTATCTTGCACCAACGCAGCACAGCAACCCACCAAAATAATTGTAAAAGCCTGTAGGTAATGATAAATTGCGTTCCTGGTTGCAGATTGCCGTAAAAACACATTCGTTTCTAGGATTCACTTTGTAGAATTTGGATGAAGGATTCACGACGGGGGCGACGGTTCATTCACGGCTCCATCGCCTCAAGCCCGGTTCGCCACGCAGTTCATCGCACAGCCACCTTACTACATCTTTCGAGAGGCGATAGTGTTGTTGAAAATGAACGTCGTCCATGTCAAACACATTGGCGTGGTTTAAATACCTATGCCGACGGCAAAACACGAACGAAAACGCTGCCATTTTGGACGCTTCTCCCTGATCTCGCGCCCAACTCGCCCAAACTCGCCTAAATCGGAGCCGGCAAGCTTTTCCCATCCGCGGCGGCTTCTGCCACGTCACAATGACGTCACCGCATCTCGCCGCCAGTTCCGAATATGCAACTCTCCGACCGCCTCCTTCCCTCCGTTTAACGTCACGATCTAGGGAGTGTCGGCGCGTGTCGTCATGCACGGCGCCGACCAATCGCGGCGGTCGGCGAGTTTGGCGGAGAACTCGCCTCGATTTCGCCGCGCCGAGCTTAGCCCCCCAGAACGCAATTGAAGTCGCCGACCAAAAAAAGTGAAAGCCGTTTACAAACTCCCTGTAACACCGAATTAGAGCGCAGCTCTTGAGGAGGAGGAGGGAAGGGTACTGAGGGGGGGGGGTCAAGTGACCTGGGGGGTCACGTGACCTTGGGGGGTCACGTGACGATGCCGATGATGCCATCAGTGACGTCACTGCTGACGTCATTAGTGACGATGACGATGCGGATTCCGATGACGTCATCGGTGACGTCACTGATGACGTCATCCGTGATGATAACGATGACGATGCGGATGCCGGTGACGTCATCAGTGACGTCACTGATGACGTATTCAGTGATGATGGCGATGACGATGCGGATGCCGGGGACGTCATCAGTGATGATGACGTCACCGGCATTCTCATCGCCATCGTCGTCCGTGATGATGACGATGACGATGCGGATGCCGGTGACGTCATCAGTGACGTCATTGAGGACGTCATCAGTGATGATGGCGATGACGATGCGGATGCCGGGGACGTCATCAGTGATGATGACGATGACAATGAGGATGCCGGTGACGTCACTGATGACGTCATCAGTGATGATGACGATGACGATGCGGATGCCGGTGACGTCATCAGTGACGATGACGTCATCGGGGAGGTCACGCGACCTCGGTGGGGGTCACGTGACCGTGGGGGGTCACGTGACCTCGGGGGTGTCACGTGACTTCGGGGAGGGGGAGGGTCACGTGACCTCGGCGGGAGGGGTCACGTGACCTCGGGGGGGTCACGTGACCTTAGGGTGACCTTGGGATGACCTTGGGGGGTCACGTGACCTTGGGGTGACCTTGGTTACGCCGACGCCGACGGCGACGGCGACGCCAACGGCGACGCCGACGCCGCTCAAGCCGGGAACCGGCCCCTAAGAGCTGCGCTCTAAAAGCACGGGCCCGCGTCGAGTAGATGCACGTCCAGGCTGCGGAAGTACTCGTGCTGGAAGGTCGATACAGTTGGTGCGTAGACAGTGACGAGGCGAAATTTTCGTTCACCGAAGAAAAAGTCCAAACGAAGAGTCCTTCCCTCTGTATCAAAAAGATAAGTGGCATTGCGCAGCAGACTGCGATTGCAGACAACCACGCCCACGCCCGTCGCGCGGCGCGGCGCGTAAGAAAAAAAAGCACTCACAGAAAACCGGGCTTCGAAATCCGCAACGTCACGGAAGCGGGCAAAGTTCGTGTCTTGCAAGCACAGAAGATCGCAGTTCTGCATCCTCGCGAAATGCATCACTTCAGTTTGCTTCGCTGGGTTTCGAAAGCCCCGCACATTCAGGGATAATATGCGAAGTGCGGCCAGTATAAATTAAAAAGGGGGATAGGGACGCCGGCGTGTTGCTTAAAACGTGGAGCTGTCGGACGATGCTGGAGAGGGGTCCCGACGCGGGGGGGAGGACTTTCGCGGTTTCTTGGGGCACGTGGCTCGTGGGCCCCCACTGTCAGTTGAGCGGGAACCGCTGCTCCTGAGGGGACGCTTGGAGTCCTCGTGCGGTAGTCGGCTCGAGTCGGACTCCGGTGTGTCAGTTGTGGTCGTATCCATACTGTCGGTCGGTGTCTCTGCGGGGCCACCTGGAGCGGGGTTCTCGTCGATGACGAGGTGGTCGCTGTCGCTGAACACCTCGCCATCACCCGACGCTTGGCTCCACGCTGCATAGGCGGTGTCGCCGACAATAACCGCGGCGGTTCGGGCAAAGTCCGTCGCTTCGGCTGAAGTCACCCCCGAGCCGGTCGGGCTTGGCTCAGGTGGGGCGGGTGGGGGCGGCGACGGAAGAGGCGGTGGTGCGGCCGCGGCTGCGGCGTCAGGTGATGACGGAGGGGCGACGGTGGAGACGGTTGGTACGGCCGGCGCTTCGGGGGCGATGGGACGGGTCGCGTTTCCTGGGTCCAGGGCCGGGAAATCGGTGGCGTAGTTTCCGGTGACCATGGAGGAGTAGCTTCTCTTGGCCGTGCAGTCCACAGTCGCGTGGGTTCCACCGCAGCGTCCACAGTTGGCAGTGCAGCCCTCGGTTGGGTGCCCGAAGACACCGCAGCGGTCGCAGTAGCCCGTCGTACACTGTGCCCGGACGTGGCCCTCCTGCCTGCAGCGTCGGCATACGCGCTTCAGGCCGCGGTAGTCAAAAGTAGGACGATGTCCGGCGACGCGCAGGAAGTTGGGCAGGGGGTTAGCCTCCTTCATCTCCATGCGGATGAAGCGGGTTCCTGTTTTCACAGTCGCCGTTCGGTGGTAGGTTGCGTAGGAGACGTCGATGACTTTGCCGTACGGGGCCAGGGCTTGGACGAGCTGGTCGTTGCGCACAAACGTCGGCAGGAAGAGGCAAGTCACATTTGTCACCTGCGGACCCGTCGGCACGATGGGGACTGACTGGTTGGCGATGGAGACGCTGCCGGCCTCACGAAGCTTGAGGGCGGCTGCACGGGTGTTGACGACGACTTGGAAGTTTGGACCTCCTAGGTGCTGCGCCGAGAAAATTTCGGGCAGCCCCACAATGGCGGATATCCCATCGATGAGATCGTCCGCCGATGTGCCTACTGGCACGACAACGTCGAAAGCGTGCGCTTTCGGCGGGGGAGAAGATGTTCTCTGTGTCTGTTCCTTCTACTGAAAGTTCTTCCGATTTCTTCCACCGCAGTCTCAGGTGTAATACGACATGATTAGCTACCACCAGCTCGCCTGCACTCTCACCGTCTTTTCACTAGAAGATTCCGTCGACGCGGCCGCCATGGCGGTTCGCACCCTCGCCGGGGCGCTCGACGACACGTAGCCAGGGACCGCAGAACGCAGGCTCCGGACGAGATGCAGCCAGGAAACCAGGAACTCAGGAACAGCGACGAGATGTTGCAGCTCCCTAGTGATCGCTAGTTTCGACCAATTCCACGGTTACACAGCTTCGAGTGTAATCCGTAGTCACCCTGAACAAGCGTCCCATAGGACTCAAGTACCTGTCATATCACTTTTAAATTTTCTCTTCAATGGCGGCGTTTACGATACTGTGTATTCTGTCCAACCTTCAACCAAGCTGAGCCGCCCAAAATCTCTTACCATATTATCATTCTCGTGATTGTTGTTTTAGCAAGAATTACTTAAAAGTCGAGAAATCACAACAACCAAAACCGGGATTTAGCTCGGATTCAGTGGAGCCGTTTATGACATTTTTAGCGTTTCTAACTTAATATCGGCGTCTTTGAAGCTGTACGAGAATCATAATAATGTAAGAGATATGTCTGCAGCTCATTCAGGTTGAAGGCTGGACGGAATGCGCAGTACTGACATTGGAGGGACATCTTAAAAGTGGTGTGGCAGGTATTTGGGTTCTGTACAGCACGTGTTCAAGGTGACTCCGAAATACAGTAAAATTTGTGTAATCATAGAATTCCTCAAAATTTTCGATCATTAGGCAGCCGAGGAAACACCGTCCCCATGATTCCTGGAGTACAAGCCGGGGTGCTTGGGGGTTTAGCAAATCGTCTATTCGGGCGTAATGCTAACAAATGAAATAATTAAGCTACATTGGAATCCTCGTGAAAACTAGCACAAATAATCTCAAACTTAAGCTTGTCAAAGCTGAAGTTTGGGATTATTTGTGCTAATATTTAGCTCGCGAACAATGAGTCATTCAGAGTTTGCTAACAAAGAATTTTTTTTACTTTTTAATATATTGAAAACCGGCCGCCAGATAAGTCTGTAGATACGCCAGATAAGTCTGTATATATGTCAGATAAGTCTGTATATAGGCAATATCAGGCTGTATATATGCCTGATATGTCTGTATATACGCCAGATAAGGCTGTATATAGGCCGTATATAATCATATAATGTTTCATATGGCCAGATATGGCCCAGATATAAGATTTCCATACGGGGCCCCTCTCAAGCGAGTTGGAACGAGAGCTTTGCCCCTTCTCCCTCGGGGAGGACCCAGGGGATACGGTGGGCACGGTTGCCGCCGTCCCACTCTGGGAGGGGGCAGCGTGCGTGCTCCCTCGGGGTGTCTGAGGGGGCTGCTGCCTATGTTCTGGGGCTGGGGCCTTGAGGGCCACTGCCAGCGTCTCTGGGGTGGCCTGGGTGGCCCTCGACTCTGAGCGTAGTGCTGGGCCCCTGCGCACCACCTCGGCATAGCCTCTTTTTGAGACGAAAGACAACCTTTTCTTAGCCTCTGGGTACGAGATATTTTCCTTGGCTTTTAATAAAATAATTTATTTTTCTGGTTGCCACAGAAGACAGGTGCGGGAATAGGCTGGGTGTGGTAACTTGCAGTTACTGCAGCGGGCCACGCGTTGCAGATGTCAGCGACGTGATCCTGGCCTCCGCACATAGCACAAGTCTCTTTTCCTCTGCAACTCCGAGCTCCGTGGCCAAACCGTTGGCAGTGGAAACATCGTTGCGGTTGGAGGTGTAGGGACGATTGTGGCAGTTCAGGTAGCCTACTCTAACTGTTGCGGGGAGGGCATGTTTCTGGGAAGGTAGTGCCAAATTTGTGCGCCGTAGATGGCTGTTCAAACGGTCGACTGAAGACCAGTAATCGTTCTTGTTCTTTGACGACGAAATGAGCGGACATCCGACTCTGGTGAAAACAAAAATGGAGCTGTTTATTTTCTCCTTGTTGTGGAGCTTCCCCCGCAGAGGAACCGGTTCCCGGGTCGCAGCCGCTTTCCCCTCGGAATCTCCTTCGCGTCCTTGTCGGACAGGGACAGGGCCTGTCTTTCGGCAACGCGCCGCTCTCGGCTCACCCGCGCGAACCCAGCGGCCTGTCGTTGCTGACTGGGCGGTCACCGTCGGTTAATGGCGAAGAACGCCACACACGTACTCCCGTTCCGTTGGTGTTAGATCACTGAACGGAAGCCCGAACGAGGGTGCCTCAATGTCCTTCTGTTTAGGGTGTTGCCATCCTTTGTAGTACCCGATGCCGACAGCACGCGCTCACGAGGAAAATACAAAGAAATCGACGAAAACAAAATGTCGCCACAGCACAGTCAGCGCCACAAACGCGTGCAGGGACACGCTCTTTCACGCGCTTCTGAACAGAAAATAAAAATAAATGCGTGGGACAAAATGGCGAGATGCCACCACCCTAAGCAAAGGGCACATGAAGGCACCCTAGCCCGAACCGAACTCGCCCGCGAGAGCGGCATTGTTGTCCATGTTGACAGATCCGACGAGAGGATCGCGACACCGCGGTGCTATAACCCACCGCGGTAACTAGTCTCGATCTCCTAAATGCTTCCGATACCGACGTTTCACACTTGACGTCACTCCCTACGTCACCTCCGTTTTCGGAGGCCCAGAAATGAGAATGAAGATAGTGCATTAAAAAACGAGCGTGTTGGTAAATACTTAAGCAACCGGAAAGAATAAACACAAATTCGGGACGCAAACAGACGATCGTCTGTTTGCGTCCCGAATTTGTGTTTATTCTTTCCGGTTGCTTAAGATAGTGCAGTCTCGGTTTCTTCAATCCTTTTGTAGGCACAGAAATATGCGTCACAAATGTCTACAAAAAACTGGGCAGCGTGCCAGGTTCCGCACCATTAAAAATTAATTAAAATCGCCTTCATCGTCCCATTAAGTCATTCAAGGAGTTCTTCATTCGTTTCCAGAAGGTCGTCCTTGGAGAGGACTCTTCAGATGGTGTTGAGCGAGCGGTGAGGACTCACCGACACTTTCACATCGACGATGCTTGTGAGCTTGCGTAATGCTTTGCTATGGAGTTTTGTATCCACCTGGACGAGGTCTCCAGAACGCAGTTTCTTGGCCTTATAAGAGAACCCGATAAGATGTTCCAGGAACTTTGACAGAACAAAATGAGATATGTTTGCAACGGGTCTTTGTTCATCTAAAGAATGAACAACAGAGAACATGGTGAATGTTTCACAGGAGGATTTTTTTCTATGGTGTTGTGCTCAAGGCAGGGTTTTTTCCAGGGCTGCCGTGAGCTGGGTTTAGGAGGAGGGGCCGCCATAAGCGGCGGAAAGTGTTCAGAACCTGTGGTGTGCCGCCTACCGCGGAGCGCAACGAAGGAATAAGTAACGCACCACAAAAGATGGCTTTGCTGGAGTCGTTACGCTATTAGTACTGCCCAGGTACTATATATAACCAAGTGTGGCTCTGGACAAGGAGTCTGTCGCCACCCTTGCCGGTAAAAATTCATCTGGCGTCGCACTGCGCTACAGGAGGAGAAGGAAAGAAGGAGAGAGAGTGGAGGATCGGAGAGGAGAAAAGAAGGAAGGAGAGGAGGGTTATAAAGAGAGAGAGGAGGAGGAGGGGTGAGAAGGAAACTAGAGAAAAGCCCTCTGAAAGTTTGTTGTGAAAAATAAAAGAGGGAATTGGGGTTGGGGAGGTCCTCCGCCGATTTTTTGTGGGCACTTTGTTTTGAAGAAGCAGACGATTTGGAATGCGATATCTTCTTTTCACGTGCTTAGGCCGTTCTAGCCGATTTCGAAACTTTGTTTCTGGATGCTCGACTAAATGCAGGTCGCGAATTGTTACAGATAATTAAAGAGGTTAATATTTTTAATATCCTTGGCTCAGCGCTACAAGTCGATTTCTAAGGCGAATAGGATAGCCCCTTTTAAATAAGTTTGGAAAACAACTTTTTACCCAGGATTGACCCAGTCTCGAACAAAAAAGAAAAAACATAATCCCCCCCCCCCCCATGTTAGGAAATAAAATACCAAAACAACCCAAATTCCAAATTCTAAGAAATCAGCGGTCGATGGCCTTCCTTTGCGACGGCTCGGGAAGAGCACTACGGCATTGTCTTCTAAGAGGTGTTGGTCCTCCCCCAGTTTCGTCCACAACCCCTCCTCTCCTCTCTAATTCTCTTTTCCTTTCTTCTTTCCTTCTTTCCAAACCCCCTCTCCCTTCTTTCCTCCTCCTCCTCGAGCGCAGTGTGATGCCAGATGAATCTGTACCGCCCTTGCCGCCAAAGGAGTTGAAAAAGGAAAGAAGAGAAATGAGGAGATTTAAAAGAAGCTGAAGGCAAGGGGTGAAAGAAGGGAGGGGATAGTAAAAGTGATGACTGACTGAATCATCCTGGTCGGACCAAGCCAGGACACCCGTCTACGGGAAGTGGGGGCCAAAGTGGGGAATTGCCTCACCCGGGGGGCCCCGAAGGGTCCTAACCTACCCCGGGCTCGGCTCAACCACCACGATGCTCTTTTCCCCGCACCCGGGAAAGCCACGCACAGCCAGACGTGGGCGGGCGAACCTGCACGGCTCAGGGTCCGCAGTGACGCCACTCACCAAACGCCTGCTTTTACAGGTGCCCCTGCGGGGGAACCTGTAAAAGAAACCACACAAATAGATTGCACTGTTACCACAGGTCCGGTTGCACGCGTTCTACCAGGACGTAAACTGAACTCATTAGAAGCTGCTTTGGTGCTCATTGCCAAAATTCTTCGGCACCTAAGTTAGTAAAAATTAGAAGTCCGCGGCTTCAGCGTTGAACGATTCACTAACTTCCAGTCGTCGCACACTCAAACAAAGGACAACACAATTAGAAATAGACTGAATCGGAATGAGGGACACTCAATAATCTACACAAAGAAAAAGAGGCGGGTGGCGTATTGGTAAGGACCTTAGATATTCAAGGTTCTGATTTGAAACGCCCAGTATTCCGACTTTTCTGCTTTTGTATTCTGTTCTTTTACTGTGCGACGATATCTCCCGGGCTTCACAATAAAGCTGTCTTTGTGTGTTTTGTACTTACTTTTGAAAACCTTCGA